GCATGTTCATTAACAGATCCTAACCTATATTTTATGAGTACAAAAAATGGAGTAATTCAAAGTGATTGGAGAGATAAAACAAATGATATGATGATTATTAAAGATGAGTATCAATACATATCAACAAATAGTATTGACTCTAATAAAATATGTTGTGCTGGAAAAAATTCTATTAAAGTTTTTGACTTAAAGAAAACAGACAAACCTATAAAAGATGTTTATATAGAAAATCCAATTCAAAATATTCAATGGAAAACTGATAGTCTTTTTGTTATTACTTCCAAAGGGGTAATAATAATGAAAGAACAAGAAAATAAAAAAGTTGAAAAGAAAATTCCATTAGAAGGTTCTATTGGGATTGACCAATCTATTGTTTACCCATCATGGATTTCAATTTTTACAGAGAATAAACTAGTTCTATATAATCTAAATGAGTTATAGCAAATGAGATGAAGTAATTTATTAAGAAGTTTATATTTAATTTACTATTCTTCTCTTTTATTTAAAATGTTAATTTGATGATTAAAATAATAAATTAAATAAAGAAATGAATAAAGAATAATAATTCTTAATAGTTATAGTGTTATAATATTTTATCAACCAATTTTTAAAGTTATTTGTAAGAAAAAAATATAAAAAATAAAAAGGAAATGAACGTTAGAACAATATATAGGTTCTTCAATTTATTTTAAGAATATTAATATAAGATTATCAATAAAATCATTTATTCTTTTTTATTTTTAAACAAATACTTAACGTTTCTTTAATTGTTCTGCTTTTTTCTTATCAATTTCAACAAGTTGTTTTGTTTTAAAATTTTCAAACATTTGAGTTTCAACAAACTCTTTAAGAAATGGTTGAATATCTTTGTTTTGACTTTGAACAAATTCATTTTTCATAAATAAACTAATAGCGTTACAATCACTCCCACGTGATGAAATGCAATAATCTTCAAATTCTTGAAACATTAAACGAATTTCTACTTGAATTTTTTGCATTGCCCATTCAATAATTTGAGAATGAATAAGAATACATTTTGATGTAGAATGTGCAGGATATCCTTTTAATGGTTTTAATATTTCTTTAATATCATTAATAATACGTTCATTATTTGGGAATGGAATTACTTTTTCACCAAAACATTGAAGTGTTTTAGAGTCTATATTATATAAATATGAATTCTCTGGTAGTTCAGATGGAACTTTATAACATCCAACTAGTAGAGGAGTAGGAGAATCCATTAAATCAATTAGTTTATTAGTTAATACACTAATAATAGGAAATTCATATGTAAATGGTTTAATAACTTCTATAAGGAATGATATTGCATTACTTACTAAACACCTGTGTTCACTTTTAATGAACACCTTTCTTTCCAATAATACTGCTGATATCAATGTTAAAAGATTATTTAATGGAATTACTCTAAAGAATAAACAACGAGAAAGAGTAACATCTTTATTGATTAAAGGATCAGCTTTCCATGACACTTTTATTTCTTTAGAGAAGTTAGAAGAAAGAAGAAAGTACGAGTGAAGGTAGTCTTCAAAAACATCACAAGGAGGGTGTTGTTCAAAAGTTATTTGATTAGAATAATCAAGGTCTAATAATGATTCTAAGAATGTTATTTGAAGACTAAATCTATTACAAAGAGATAATAATACATAAATAACTTCATCCTCATAATAAACTAATGGATTTGTTTCATCTCTTTGTATCCGAAGTTTAGAAAAACAAAAAGCATATCGAGTTAATCCAATGATTTGACTAGCAAAGAAGAATGTAAAGAAATGAGATACGTGTTGATGTGATATTTTGCATTTATGTATTATATTTTCTACTTCTTCAACTGATTTTGCTTCTTTGCGTTTGTGAAGTACCCCTTCTGGAAAACAATAATCAACTAAAATATCATATGTAAAATCATTTAACGGAGTTTGAGGGTATTGATATAATACTGTTGGTGTATCGTCAATACTATTACTTCCTATAATAAGAAATTGATCAGCCAACTGTTGTTGAGGAGGTAATTCTCCAAGTTTTAACTGTGAAAACATATTCCTTCTTTTTCTTTCTTCATCGAAGTCAGTTGACTTATAACGTTTAGAATAAATCTTTAGTTTTGTATTTTTCATTTCCCTCTACCCAATCTTTCTTATATTTTTAAGTTTTCAGATTGCTTTGATTCGAAGTAGCACGTCAGAGACACCACACAAAACCCTAAAATATTTCCTTCCTTCGATTCCCCCAGTTGTGGACTGGTTATGACGTTGCGTTTGGTTAGAAAAACATCTTACCCGGTACTGCAAGAATAGCAGTGTTTATTATGTACAATGACAGAATATCATTGACAATAAACGAATGGGTATTTATAAAGATGTTATTATTACTTGTTAGAATACAAGTATATTTGATAATATAAGAAAGATTATCAAAGGAAAAGGGTCAAGTGGATGAGGCTAAAAGAATATTAGCCCAAAGCAATACAGTGGTAATTATATACTCTCCTTAAAATAAGAAAATAAAGAAGAAGAAATTTAAACCCATCAAAATTAAAAAGAAATTTAATAATGAATATCTAAATAAGGGATGTTTAAAATACACTATTCCACACCAAAAATGAGAAAAGAAAATTCTCACCGTTCAACAACTAGAAGCAAAGAATAAGCTAAAAGTTGAAGAACAAATACATTTAAGCTCAGGGACGGGATTAGTAGTCTCCCCTGAGCAAGGAACAATAGACACAAGTTCTATTAATACTTAATTAACTACTTTTTTATTAAGTTTTCAGATTGCTTTTCCTCTTTTTTCTTTTTTTTCTTTGTAATGTATAACATTTTTTTGTTTTAAAAAGGGAATGACACTTTTTTATGTGTTATTCAACTTCGTTTTCATCCTTCAAACGACAATCAAACTCTATTTATATAACAGAGGGTTAAGAAAAGAAAAGATACACAATCAATTAAGAAAGTAAATTACAGAAATAACTACACAGAATCAAATGGATTAAATAATAAAGTTCTACATATTGTTAATTGTTTAAATAAATGATGGTATTGAATAGAGTTTTCATTTAACATTAAATTATCTTTACAATAATGAGATAATGAAAAGAGATGATATTCCCCATTAGATTCTAGTTCATTAAAATGTTGAATGAGAATAATGTCATTATCATCAAATGAACTTCTATTATCAATTAAATCATATTCATCAATAGTAACACTTTCATAACTTATTCCATTTTCTTCTTCTTCTTCTTCGATTATGTCTTCACTTAATGGTTCTTCGTTTATTTCATCATATTGTTCAATACTATTATCTTTTCTTCTTCTAATTCT